GTTCATAAAACCGGTTTCTTTCCATTTAACATTATTTTCTTTGGAACACGTTAACGTTTTTAACAAATGTGCAACTCCTGCACAATCATACCGACACAAAACCACACACTCTCACACACACACACACACACACACACACACACACACACACACACACACACACAGCGATGGACCGTGACAGAGAAAGAAGAAGGCACAAGAGAAATAAGCATGAGCGCACAGCAAACACATCAAAGTCTCCACAGCAAAAGGTTATATAGCACCTTAACCGGACCGCGTAGACCATTACATGGAACAGACGGATCGAGAGGACACACATCGATGGACAAATGGCTAACCCAGATTTACAAAGTTCTATCTGCTCACTGACTAGTTTTAAGAAACCTGACGTTAAAAATATTGCGTTTCACATGGGAAGCTTTTTCTACAATAATTCTTTGAATATCTTACTAACGACTCTAAATAATCTGAGGATGTTGATAGAGCTCATAGAACATTTGGTATTTGACATCATGGTCTTAATAACTCAAAACAGCCCCAAAATTTCAGATAAAACGTTGTGATTCTGAGGTAACGAAATAGGAAAGCAGTTATATGCGAGGGGCAAGATTCCGCGAGCAGAATGGGAAAGGAAAATGGGTGGAAAATAACAAACGGCTCATGGTAGGGCACTAATTCAGTTTTCGGAAAAAAAGATATTTTATTTTCGCACATCGAGGACGATCAAACGTACCCAAAAAAAAATAGCCCCGTCCGAATAAAAGGGATTTGTACTTGGTGTCTCGATCGACACGTCTCATTATAATACCTACAATATCAGGGCAGATGAAACATCGCATGAGCGAAAGAGAACAGTTCAGGGATAACATAACTGAAAACAGAAGTCACCCCCCCCCCTTCCCCTTCACCACTTTCCAAACCTCTACCTCGACCCCCCCCCCCCCCCCCTCAATTCACTACTTCTGTGCTATGAGCCAGAGTGGAAATACACAATTTCTTGTCAAGGCGGATGGCAAAAGCAGACCGTCATACTGGCCTAGCTGCTACGGGCGTGAGGCAACCATCGAGTAGGGTCTATGGCGTTCTTGGCCCAGGGACTCAAACCCTAGTGAGCTGGGACTGCGAGGCTCCAGTGGCACCCCTTTCTTAGGCAGTTTGTCCTTCAATACGGTGTCATTCTGACAAGAACCTAAACATAGATACTAATTTGATCGTCTTTTCTTTATCTTGCCATCAGATACATAGTACCTAGGCGAGAGAGTGAGTCTGACGTTTATGCAGTTCTTTCTCACTTTAACCAAACCTTTTGCAAAGGTCAGGCATCTCGCTACCTCAGAATTACACAGTTCTGTCTGAAATTTTTGGCCGTTTTGAGTTACCAAGACCATGGGGTCAGAAATCAAATTCTTCATCTGCTCTATCAAAATCGTACGATTACTAGGAGTCGTTATAAGGATACTCATAGAATTGCATTCGAAAAAGTTTGAAACATTGTAAAACTCTAAATCTTTTACAAGACACTTCTCAAAAAATAGAAACTGAGCAGATAAAACTTAGCAATTCTGAAGTACCCATCGGTCCAACAGACATCGGTGAAATAGTAGTACCATCGACTCATTGAAGACGCACACTTCGGTCATTCGACGCGCTGATTTGAGAGAAGCATGACTCGAAGTACAGATTTGTCAGTTCAGTTTCATTTACCTGGAACCCAAAAAAGGCAGGCGCAGGCAACAACATGCATGCTACAAAATATGCAAATTCATCTCTCAGATTTGTGTACAACGGTACAAAATGAAACGTAACATTTGACCTCTGCTGGTCGCATGTTATGTCCGCTACGTGTTTGAAGAGTTCATCAAAGTGTGATGGTATCCAGAACTGTGCCGGCCACACACCGACAACTCGCTACCCTAGAATTATCAAGTTCTTTCTGCTCCGTACCCAGTTATGAGAAAGTTGACGTACAAAATTTGAGCTTCACAACACGTCAAGCTTTTTCGAGTGCAATTCTTGAACTATCTTGATGAAGACCTCGAATAATCTTACGATTTTGATAGAGCAGATAGAACATTTGGTTTCTGGCCTCGTGGTCTTTATATGAACTCTAAAAGGCTAAAAATGTCAGATAGAACTTTGTGAATCTAAGGTAACGAACTGGAAGTTCTATAAACGAATTAATAACGGTTCTGAATCTGCGGAATTTTGAGCGTAGGTTCAGAGGCATTGTCCTCAAAGGTTAAGTCTCGGTTCTTTGAAGCCATTCACAGAAACACTACGAAAATATTCTTTGTCCAAGATCTTATAACTATGCTAGTGCTTTAGTCGGTAAAATTGCAGCCTGCACTGTATATTTCCCAATGAGCTGAGATGGTTTCAGAATGCCATCAGGTCTGGTTGGGCGGGGCGGGGGGGGTGTGTCTTTTTTGCGAACATGTTTGCAGCTAGGCAACTAAAGACAAGTTTGGTTTCGTTCTAGTTTTAGTAAGCGTTTAACTGCACTTGCAACACAATTAGCTCATATAATATGTGCTGAGGATTAGAGGTGCTACAAGAAAGAAACAAACACAAAAAGGAAGGAGGAGATTAAGGACGATAGGTCTTTGATAGGAAAGAAGGAAAAAACCACTTCAGAGAACCCGCCAACCACCTACGAAGCGTTTGGTGAGACATAAGCTGATGATAGTAGCGTGCGGACACAATAATTGATGAAATATAATCAAAATCTGTGGTAAAAACTTCGCCACCAGAGTGGAGTGGGGAGAACACAAGCGGCACCGGTGCTGAACGCTGAACTCTGAACTCTGAACTCTGAACTTACACATGACAGAACCGGACCTCTGCAAAACGCTGATTCTTCGGCCTTCATGGTGGGACAAACAAGTGATAGGTAAACACTTAAGGTCGCTACAGTAACGCTATGACATAATAAAAAGTTTCTAAAATACAAATCAGGCCGTTAGGCTGCCACCCCAGCAAATTTTAAAATTTAAAATTTGAAAACCAGACCAAAACATAGTGTGAAATTAAAAAAGGACATAAAGGTATGTTCCAGCGAGTATTAATTGAAATGCATCAACTTTGGTGGAATGAACATTTATCGAATATCAAATGAATGAAGAAAAATTTTGTCTCTGCAATGAACATCATTGTTTTACTATATTTCCAAACAGATTGGAAAGAGCAGTCACAATCCTTCTCACACCTGTAAAGTAGTAAGACAGAGATATACCCTTGCACCTTCCTTTATTCAAAACATATTGGCGATGTCTCTCCTTTTAAGCACACCAAGGAAATCAAGATCTGAAAGAAGGGACGCACTTGGAAAATCTACTTCCTCTAAGACTACCGGCCAGGCAAAGCTGTATCAAAAGTACTGGTCTAATTATGATCGTCTGTCAAGACGCAAAAGGCCTACGTTGGAGTAAAATTAAACAGTACAAAGGCACAAAAAATGCTATTCAGAGCTAGGGAAAAGGACAGACAACAATAACAAAACAGGGATATTATAAAGAAGCACCTTTAACTACCAAAGGAACCCTCCATTACCCCTCAGGTTCGTGGAGACGAAGTCGGAGAAAGGTAAAACTTTGGCGGATTTTGAGGATTTTAAAAGACATTACAGATACCCCCTCTCAAACACAACTAGGCCACTTGGAAGAACGTGGACAGCTCAAAGCCGCTTGTACGCCTCACAGACAAACAGTGAAAATTGATTTATAATATTAGTTTACGCATTCTATTAAACGAAAAGAAGGAGACAACAAAAGCTACAGCAAGTGTGATCTACCACATGCGTGACGTTACAGAGAGTGCTTCTGTTAACTCTACTGGTACAACATTCCGTTGGGAATTTATTTAAAAACCCTTCCTATAACTGAACATAAATGTAAGTGCATGGGTTTAACAGCCCTATCAAAAGGCAGGAACTCCGAATTTAACTTTCGGCTCCAATAGGACCGAGGTGAACAGGCTGAAAGCCCTGAAAACCCCACAAGACGATACGTTCGTTGCTCTCTGGGCCCTACCAATAAAAAAAAATACGCTGGCTGGTGCACACCATGGATGCGCAACAGAAGGAAAAAACAGTAATCTCTCTTTATCGAGTGTGCACACAACTTCTCCTTTCTTGCCCTTCATTCGGTTCCAAATAGGGTGAAATGGTTCGTTCCATGGTGAACCAGAATTACGTCACAAAGAATTCTCCGTCTTGGATATTATAATACAAGTCTAATGTTGCAACACGATGGAATCAGGCGCTCGGCAATTTTTGGCGTTAATGGAGTAATTTGTATAATCTTACAGTTTGTTCATTTGCCTTGCTGTTTAATTTTAAAATACCCATCTTTCCTGAAGTCAAGATATTTGCCATTCAAAGAGGTTGGGGTCGCCTCGTGTTAGAGGCAAAACTTGCGAGGAAATGACAGCCGCGACTTTCAAAGCTGAAGTCTCCTTGGTAACTTCAAATTTACAGTTTATGTGCCTTTAATCACATGTTTTTTGTAAACCCAAGCAGAAAGGTGTATTCAAGTTGACATATAAGGTGTTGAGCCCAAAACGAAGTAAAAAGTGACAAAATTGCCAAGCAGGAGGGGCAAATAGCGATGTTTCGCCATATCATTATTTGAAAAAGAGCCTGACTTCACAACGATGACTCACATTGGTTCCAAAATGTAAAATCAAATAGGTGTGCTCCATCATAGTGAGCAGTAATTACGTCCAAGCGCACAGTCTGGGATATTGTAACACAGGTCTGTGATGGAGTGCTCTATGGTGAACCGGAGTTACGTTAGAGTGCACTGTCTAGGATATTACCATCATACAACAGCAAGTCTACCAGCTGATGATGGAGACAATCAGCCTGCCCACACACAAATGTACCCTTATGAAGAGGGGCGAGGAAGCATGGAGCACCTCGTCTTCCTAAGATCCCAGTTGTACATTCAAGTATTCATGTATTCAAACAACAAGTCTGTAGTAAGCGCTCACCAGTGGTAGGCCCCTGGGACACGGCCGTGGTGCTGGGCCCAGATTTCAGACAATTGAGGTACTCGCTGCGGTTCACGAACGCTTCGAAAATGGCGGGGAGAGAGTCGTTCAGTTGGGTCGCCGTGATTTGCTGGGGGAGGGGGGAAAGGGGCGGGGAGGGCGGAGGGAGGAGGGGGGAAATAGAACACAATGAATATCAAAGTTTTTGTTTATTAAGTAGTTCTTGGTAAGAGTTTTAAGCCACCTGTGCTTACTTTTACTTTTTCATCCTCTGCTGAATTTAAGCGTCGAGAGGAGATGCAGTTTTCTGGGCTATGGTAAGCCAGCTCCGCAGCTCTTTCAATTGAGATACTATGATTTCTCAAGGGGTTTTTGACACCCTCAATTCACCTTTTATGTGGCCTTCCTCTTCCTTTATAGCCAGAGTGCTTGCTGTTAGAGGCTCTCGAGCAGGCTGGCTCGTGATTTTGTAGGTGTTATCGACTGCTCAGTGCAAGACTCCGCTATACGCCATTTAGAAAAGTGAGGAAATGCTTTTCAATCAAATTTCAATTAATTGAATTAAAAATAGAGCAGGATACTGGGGGGGGGGGGGGCCCC